ACCTTGTGTTTGGCATAGATTTTAGTAAAGACTCTCAGGATTTCTCACGTTAATAGATTGAGCGACAAGCAACATTTTTCAGATTATTATGAAAAATATTGCTCAATATATATATATATATATATTTCCAAAACAGAAATCTTATTCACACAATCTTACGGAATTCGTATTGTAGAAGGTGTCATGCTTCCGTATTGCTACGAATCACTATCGTAGTATTACTAATTCAGAAATCAAACAACAAAAATCAGCGTTATATTTACAAAATTTTCACAGGACTAGTTTCGATGGTTTTACCGAACCACCTTCCTCAGCTGCAAAACCGCAAATGATAAGAAAGCCTGGACAAGAATAAGCAAGTGGCGCCATCTGTTGGTGAAACCAGAAGTAAAACATAATTTCTTTAAAGGCTGAAGGCAAATTTGGATTGGAATTAGGATCGTTAACTAGAACAGAAAGATTTTCATGAATGTGAAATGCCTCTAGAAAATCCAGTTCTCCAATGGAAGATGTTTTTTGAATAATTTTGGCAGCAGAAAAATTGAAAGTGTGATTTTCGGACCAACAATGTTGAGCAACAGAAGACTTCTGTGTTTCCTTTTTTCTAACATATGCCAAATGTTACTTGACGCGAAATTTTAAGGCTCTCTTAGTTTGGCCAATGTAAATTAAACCACACTGGCAAGGAACCCTATAAATACCCCAGGAATTCATATCCGGAATGGGGTCTTTGAGTATGGAACTCGGAATTTTTTTGATGGGAAAATAAACAACCCGAAAGTTAAATTTCTGCAAAATATGTGCAACTTTATAGTTAATTGATGGAAAGAAGGGAATGACAACAGAAATTTTATAATCTCCTAAAACAAGAGTGTGCCTTTTAGTGTGTTGAGATGAGAATTTTTTAACTGCTTGATTAATAATGTTCGGTGAAAAGCCCCTGTCAATAACTATTGCTTTTAAATAATTTAGTTCTTCATCAAGGGCTAGTTTGGAGGAGCAAACTTGAAGAGCACGGAAAACATAGGAATAAAATGAAGCTAACTTTTGTTTAGTCGGATGACATGATTTAAAGTGTGGTGGAAGGCAAACCGATGAAGGTTTACGGTAAACCGTAGTACTGAAGTTGGATGTGTTACGTGTGACCAGAATGTCGAGAAACAGAAGAGAATTGCAAGTCTCAAGTTCAAAAGTGAACTGAATAGCAGGATCAATAGAATTCATTGTTGAAAGAACTTTATTTAAATCATCTTTATTACCTTCAAACAGGGTAAAAGTATCGTCTACGTAGCGGAACCATGCCGGGAAGTTTAAAGTTTCAAACAATTTTGATTCATAATAATGCATGTAGATATCAGACAGGATGGGACTGAGAGTTTGCTTGTAATATTTATTTTGGAAAACAAAGTGTGTTTGTTTCAAACAGAGTTGAGTGAGAGAAATTAGCTCATCAATTTCGATGCAAGAGAAATGAAATTCGCGAAGTCTGGTTTCTAGACATCTTGTAAGGATCTTAAGTTTTACTAACGTTTATTTTATTTTAAATCTTTACTATCACTTCTTATTTTCTACTTCCGGCCAGAATTATAAGCGTTAACGTATTTATGCAAAGTTTGTCTGGCGAATGCCAAGTGGCTTTTTGCCAAGCGAGAGAGACGAAGCAGTTAGACGAAGCAGGCCGCTTGCCTTAGAAGTTTTACTCAGTTGCTGGTTGCCTTCCAGGCCAGAGGTTTAATCCTCTTGATAATTTTAAACGTATTATAGTGTTAACAGTTCTCTGTACTACATACGGCTTCCTGTTAATATAAGGCCAATCTTCCACGTTTATTATTTCAAAGTTAAGTAAGCGTTTAGTTATATTTTTTATATTCTTATGTTTAGACCACAAGTAGTGGGTCTTTGTATTCCGAAGTACGGAAATTATTGTAAATAGAGAAAAATAAAGGGTTTTGTATACCCTTCTTGTGTATCCTGTCTACTTCCCACAGTTATTGAACATAGCTTTAGTAAGCTCTCTGTTCCGAGTCAGGTCCTTGCATGTTCCCGAAGAAAGTAAGACGGAACATTGAACCTGATAATCTTAATGCACCCTCCACTGGGACATTGGTGAATAATGATTTTACATCAAAAGAAACCATGAGTAAATTACTAGGAGAAATGTTTTTAACCTTTTTTACAAACTCTATTGAATTTTTTATGGTGTAAATGTTATTGTCTAATAGAGTGGAAAATCTAGAAACTAAATATTTAGCTAATGGGTACGAGGCAGTACCTAAATTTGATACAATAGGGCGAAAAGGAATACCACTTTTATGAATTTTGGGAAGAGCATATAATCTGGCACAATTCGCAACAGTGGGATAAGCGAATGTTTTTAAGTTGCTTGAAATGATTTGCGAAGATTTGATCGCAGTTTTTATTTTTGACAAGTCCGAAGGTGAAGGATCTTTAGGGATCGTATTATATGGTCCTTCGTTTAAGAGTTTAGTGACACCATCGATGTAGGTGTTCTTGTCCATAACGACTATCTGAAGCTACCTTTGGTCGGTCACTAAACTCTTAAACGAAGGACCATGAATATCCGATCCCTAAAGATCCTTCACCTTCGGACTTGTCATCGAAACAAAAACTGCGATCAAATCTTCGCAAATCATTTCAAGCAACTTAAAACATTCGCTTATCCCATCTGTTGCGAATTGTGCCAGATTATATGCTCTTCCCAAAATTCATAAAAGTGGTATTCCTTTCCGCCCTATTGTATCAAATTTAGGTACTGCCTCGTATCCATTAGCTAAATATTTAGTTTCTAGATTTTCCACTCTATTAGACAATAACATTTACACCATAAAAATTTCAATAAAGTTTGTAAAAAAGGTTAAAAACATTTCTTCTAGTAATTTACTCATGGTTTCTTTTGATGTAAAATCATTATTCACCAATGTCCCAGTGGAGGGTGCATTAAGATGTCTAGAAACCAGACTTCGCGAATTTCATTTCTCTTGCATCGAAATTGATGAGCTAATTTCTCTCACTCAACTCTGTTTGAAATCAACACACTTTGTTTTTCAAAATAAATATTACAAGCAAACTGAGGGATTAGCCATGGGAAGCCCCCTCAGTCCCATCCTGGCTGATATCTACATGCATTATTATGAATCAAAATTGTTTGATACTGTAAACTTCCCGGCATGGTTCCGCTACGTAGACGATACTTTTACCTTGTTTGAAGGTAATAAAGATGATTTAAATAAAGTTCTTTCAACAATGAATTCTATTGATCCTGCTATTCAGTTCACTTTTGAACTTGAGACTTGCAATTCTCTTCCGTTTCTCGACATTCTGGTCACACGTAACACATCCAACTTCAGTACTACGGTTTACGGTAAACCTTCATCGGTTTGCCTTCCACCACACTTTAAATCATGTCATCCGACTAAACAAAAGTTAGCTTCATTTTATTCCTATGTTTTCCGTGCTCTTCAAGTTTGCTCCTCCAAACTAGCCCTTGATGAAGAACTAAATTATTTAAAAGCAATAGCTATTGACAGGGGCTTTTCACCCAACATTATTAATCAAGCAGTTAAAAAATTCTCATCTCAACACACTAAAAGGCACACTCTTGTTTTAGGAGATTATAAAAATTCTGTTGTCATTCCCTTCTTTCCATCAATTAGCTATAAAGTTGCACATATTTTGCAGAAATTTAACTTTCGGGTTGTTTATTTTCCCATCAATAAAATTCCGAGTTCCATACTCAAAGACCCCATTCCGGATATGAATTCCTGGGGTATTTATAGGGTTCCTTGCCAGTGTGGTTTAATTTACATTGGCCAAACTAAGAGAGCCTTAAAATTTCGCGTCAAGTTAACATGAGGCATATGTTAGAAAAAAGGAAACACAGAAGTCTTCTGTTGCTCAACATTGTTGGTCCGAAAATCACATTTTCAATTTTTCTGCTGCCAAAATTATTCAAAAAACATCTTCCATTGGAGACTGGATTTTCTAGAGGCATTTCACATTCATGAAAATCTTTCTGTTCTAGTTAACGATCCTAATTCCAATCCAAATTTGCCTTCAGCCTTTAAAGAAATTATGTTTTACTTCTGGTTTCACCAACAGATGGCGCCACTTGCTTATTCTTGTACAGGCTTTCTTATTTTATCTAATCATTATTTCCTATCTTGTTCATTTGCGGTTTTGCAGCTGAGGATGTTGGTTCGGTAAAACCATCGAAACTAGTCCTGTGAAAATTTTGTAAATACGAGTATAACGCTGATTTTTGTTGTTTCACTTCTGAATTAGTACTTATTCGGCGTGTTAAAGTGTCTTAATCGTAGTATTATTTGCATTAATTAAAAATGAGAAACATTTGTACTTTAATTGATTTTTTGTACGTTTACCAAATTACGATTCTAAAGTAATACAATTTCGCGAGAATATTAATAACGTATTTTTAGAATTTGAAAACATATAAATTACTAGTGTCAAAATTCTTTCGGCATACCAAATGTAACAAAATTATAAATAGCAAATTACAAAAGATTATCATTCAATGACATTTAATAGGAAAAAAATCAACCTCGAATTATTCTAATTTATTTATTAACCGACCCATCAATGCAAATTTAAATTTAAAATGACTTCAGATGTAGCAAAATTTGAAATTAAATATCTCCGTCAGTTTTTGTAGTACGGAAGCAAACATTTTGGGTTTTATTTTTTATAACGAGTACAAAAGTTTTCTAAACATAAGTACCACAGGAACTTGTAAAAAAATTAGATTTCGTAATAATTTTTAAAAAGTTGATTTTTTAAATTGCCAAAACATGTATCTTTGCATCATTTAAAACAGTTTTGTAACTGGAAGAATGTATCTATGACGAACAGTTGCGAAAATAAAGGACGGGTAATTATTTTTGAGGTACCATATAATTAAAAAAAATAGTGCGATATTAACAAATTCATCAGCATATAATATGTGTTTTAATTTTATTTTATAGGTGGAAAATGTGATGCACCAACAGATGACAGAAAACATCAATTGCCTGAGAAGTATGTAATTGTTTACAAACTACTTATTTAATTATAAAGTCTTCTTTACAAAAACATAGCCCTTTCGCATGGGATGATTTGCAAATGCAGTAAGTATATAATGAGTAAAAAAATCTGAAATCAATATGTGCGGAACAATGATATTTTTAAAAACTGTATTTTGTTTTAATAAGATTTATCATGCATAGCCGCCTTAATTTTTTAATAGCAAAAAAATCTGTTTCTGTTAATTTATTTGTTATTTGTTTGAAGTTTATTAACTACCAAATGTTTATTACCATTTCAACAATTCATGCAATATCTCTTCAGTTCTTGGCATAAAACAAAAGGATGGCTTAATGCTCGTTATTGTGTCTCTGACATATATACGAGTGTGAGCCCGGCAACAACGGCAGTGGTAACATGGTTAACTGAATTTTTCGCGTACATTAAAAAACTTTCATTTGTTTGAGAGTATCTTGTCTTAAAGTTAATTTTAATTTTTAGCGTTGCGTTATAAAATGGAGTTCTGGTTGGTGACATGCGAAATGAAATCCGCTGCGTGTATTAGGTTTCAATTTGCTGCGTTTAGAAAAGAAGGTTAAATGTTCAAAACATCCAGAATTGTATTTTAATTTGTCGTAATCGGCTATACATTCTATGTCAGAGCCTATTCCAGTCAGGTGTGTACAGAGATAATATCTAGCGATAAGAGCATTTTGAGATTCTTGCCTACGACACTCGTCAAAGGTAATTTTTAGCAATACAAATAGTGTTGTCGCGTGCGTACGGGTTCGTAATGAATTGAATGCATACAGAACGGATGATAGCTTGGTAAAATTTATTTTCACAAAGCACTTTACCAGTTCTGGAACTTTCCACAAAAATACTTGTAAGCTTTTCTCAGTAGCACAAGCAGTAGTTACCACTTCAAACTACGACGAACGTTAAACACAATATAGTGCAAAGCGCATACAAAGAGGGAACTCATTAGTCATCTCTTAACTAAAAAACTGAGAACTGATGATCTCTCGGGTCTTATATAAATTCCCCCTGTCCGCTTAGAAATTTACAGTACTTTCCCATTCTCGAAATTACTGAAAGGCATGTACGGTTACAGTTTCGTTCGTATAAGGATAAGTTACAGTTATTCAGTTATTCAGTTCATAGGGCCCTGACGAAAATGTCGCCGAATGGTCGCCAAGTTTGGCGATAAAATTTAGCAGCCCAAACTACTGCCAGTTTGGCTACATCTCGCCAATTTAATGAGATAGCTGTTTGCCTAAATTTTAAATAGACTGTAATCTTATTTTTCCAATAGAGCTTTGCTTTTTCGAGGCACTTCATGTTATACTGTACAAGAAATACTAGAATTTTACATGGAATTTCACTAAAATTCATTACATATGTACAAAATTCGTAACAGTTTTAATAATGTATGAAGTCAGACTTTCAAACTGAAAACGTGTTATTTTACTAAATCTACACTATTTCCACTAATGGATAAAAAGATATAAATAATAGTCATAAGGTGAACATTAGTTACTATTTTGCGAATGCACAGACAAAAATTCTGTCTTGCAGCGAATGTTTCTCAAACTCCCGTAGAAGACATAAAATGTTTTTTAATTTTTTTTTTTTTTTTCCTGTAAGTTGTGAAAAACAATTCTGTTTTAATATTTCTGAAAATAAATGAAACTGAGACTGTAAGGGTATTACCTAAAATACATTACCAAAATGGTCCCTGGAATCGCCACTTTCGTCACATTTATTACTTGCGCTGTAGATTTTTCAAAATGTCCACCTAAACTGAGAAGACTGATTTCTTTCATATAAATGTTTTTCTGGAAGTTTTTAAGTTAACTGATTTCTCTCACTCTTTTTTTTTTTTTTTTTTTTTTTTTTTTTTTTAATATTTATGCAGTGTTTCACAAAGTAAGTCTAGTCCAGATACTAGCGAGAATTTATCAAGCGATGTCCTGGAATTGTTTGCGACCTCAAAGGAAATGGAGAGTATAATAGATGAAGAAAATCAGGTATGTTTAGGAAGTATGCTATTTATTTGCTTTTCAGCATATAAAAATATCTAGAAAGTTTAAAACAAAGATCTTCAAAATTGAAGTTTTCCCTTTCCTCTTTTTGTATTTTGCATATGAATTTTTACTTTCTGGATAACATCTGGAATCATTCACAGTTAGTGTATTCTCATAAGTAACTTTATTAAGATATTTTGCCTATAAATGTGCTTAAGATTATTATTATTATTGTTATTATTATTTCTACATATGATTATATTTTTATTTCTTTTAGATTATAAAAGAAAAGTACTGTAAAAATAGTATTTTCATTTAAGAAAAAAGTGACTGTAAACATTTAGCTTTGTGCCACATAATAAAAGAAGTATTATGAAAGCTTAAATTCGGAGAACTACAAAATTCTTACGTTCTAGCCTTAAAGCTTTTATCAAACAGATAATTTAATGCAAAGTTATTTTGCCCAGCCCTGCCCCAGGTACTAAGAATTCAAGTCTTCTCCCTGTTAGGGGTAAAGGATGCCAGTTTCTCATTGTTAAATCATTAATTAGAATTTATCGCAATGAAAATATTAGAGTTAATCTTACGACTCTTTTTTTCAATACGAAATGTTTGCATTGCCTATTTCATTGACAAATAAGGACTGTATTGTATGCCCCATTTTGTATCCATTGTTAAATTGTTGCAAGATCGAGCAATTGTTTTCATCAACACCTTGTTGAAAGCAATTTAGTAATCTTTGCTGTCAGGAATTTTACATAGTTAGGTCCCCTGATCCTTCCGTCTTTTTTGGTTGATTCACCTGTAGAGGTTATTTTGAGTTTCTAACAGTTATTTTAATTTTTAAACATACTTTACTCTCTATTCTCGTTTTTCACCTACTATCCACTACCAGGAGAAGTTTTTAGTATCGTATTGCGGGTAAATGGAGTGGAAAGAGTATTTAAGGATGGTTTTGCTTACTTCAGCAGAAGAGCTTAGGAGTCCTTAGTGGCGCGTGTTTGCGTCAAGCTACTTCGTTGTTTAAAGCTAACTACGCTCGGCGTGCTGTACGTGCCTGATGATATTCGACGGTTATATATAATTTTATACAGATTCAACTAAGTTCAGTTTAGTTTAGCATTAGATTAGTTTCTTATTTTCCTATCTTCAGTTAAAGTCCAAGTGGAGGCTTTTCTGTAAGCCCGAGAAAGGGGCTATGTGTGTTCTTAGTTTGAGATAATAAAGGGTGAGTTTAATCCTTCTCTGAACTTTTCATTTACACACTTGGACTCAGCGATAAGTCGCTACATAATTCAACAAGGTTTCTATTAAGTAAGCAAAGTAATTAGAAACATTACATAACTATGCCAAATACAACGTCGAGTGGAAACTTCTATGGTTTTCCTCCATCTCTCCCTTTCTCTGATATTGTGACTTATAGCGCAACAGTCCTCGGGTACTTAGAATCGTTTCCAAAATTATTGAAATGCCTATTTTTTTAGTTATTCATGTAAGATGTCTATAACATAGAGCACTGTTATAGCAGTCTTCTAGCATAAATATTTAAGTATAATTTAATAAACGCATGGACAATTGTCCAACGGGACCATACAGCCAATCCAATATCAGCGTGCTATATTCAAAAGCAAAATCTAACAGGAGTTCAAAGCATCTTGTCGCAAAGCGTAGTATAAAATTTATATATTTCGAAATCATGAGACCTAATACTATTGAAAACGAAAAATCCAAAATGCCTGTGATTATTTCAAAATTCTGGTAATGTGTTTCAAAGGTTGTAATGCTGCCTGATGTGTGTTGATTTTCTGGCATTTTTATGACTGCATTACATACATTACACTTTTGTAAGTGATTAAAAAGCATTTCTTCCTTTGAATGCTCTTGAAATGGGGTGTTAGCACTAGCCATTTGAAGATTCCATTCCTGCCGACAGCCTAAATGATTTTTTTGATTTTCCTATCCGACAAAAAGTTTTATCATTTCTAAAATTTTAATAAAAATATTCAAGCGGATCTTGACAATATTTCTCGTTTCAAATAAGATTGCTTTTTCTTTACAAGGTTTCAAAACATTTGATGTCGAATGCATTATAAATGCAATTCTAAACAAACTATAAAATCTGTTATAAGAGTATAAAAAATATTAGACCTCTGAAGTTTGACAATATTGAGAAGGCAAATGTTGCAGCTTATAAATGTAGAAGTTTTTAAAATTGATAAAGAACGTATGCTCCAGCTGTTTGAGCATTACCTTTAGATATGTTGAAAAACTTCACTTGTACCTGAATTTTAGCTTTAAACTCTAGCAATAGAACTGGGTTTTTATAGATTACTATAAAATTTGATACAACTGTTTTTCATAGTATTTTTGAAAGCTCCAACTAGGGCCTTTATAAAAATGTAGTTGTGAATGAATTTATGCACTTTTAAATTTTTGAACAAACTTGAAATTTTAATGAAATACAATTGTTATTAGTTCAGTTGGTAATATATCGGACATTAATATCAGTATTTCAGTTCAAAATTCAGGTCTTCCCAAAAGAGTTCTACTATAGTAGTAAAGAAAGCTGTTTTATAAAACTAAGAGAGTTAAATCATATTAAATGCATGAAGAATTAAATTATGACTTATTTAAAGGAAAAATATGATTTTCATTTATTTATTTATTTATTTTGAAAGCTAATTTTATTCATTTTTAATTCATAATATGGAACTGTTTGAAAAAATAATAGTTTGAATTTATTTATTTATCTTTTATTTTATCTTAGCTTATGATTATTTATTTATTTTATTTTACATTAATATTTATTTTTATATTATTGAAATTTGAAAAAATAATTGAATTTGCCGATTTTTAATCAAAAATAGTTTTAATTATTAAAAAACACAATCAAAAGTATTTCTGGCAAATGCAGAGCCTTGTAACTAAATTTTGAAATAAATCTCTTAAAATATTTATTATTTTCGCTTGAAGGATTTTTTATGCTGGTAGAATAGAAAATATTGCTTTTTTTAAATGTAAAACTTCCTATTCTATATCTTTAACTTCTATAAGAACCAAGGACCTATTCTTAACGTAGTAAGCCTTTCGTAACTGCTCAGCTTAAGATTGTGTCATGTTAAACTGAAATCTTTACACCAATATCAGATTGCAGTTTATTTTTAATCTTATTTTTATATTTCTTAATTTGTTTATGTTTTCTTAACTTTGTAAAGTTTTAAGAGTAAACTTTTGAGATGTTAAGTTGTAATCTGAAGTATTCAGTTTTCATATTTCAATGTTTGTTTAACTGCTTGTATAACAATCTGTTGTACAACTGATTTTTCTTAACAAATCTGGTGTTTGATGTTTATAAACTGAAGTTTTAAACTTAAATTCTTTGTGTCATATAACACGACACATTTTAAGTACCTAACAAATATGTTATATGACAAGTGGCTGTACCTGCAGAACTGTAATATATGACTATATCACAGTTCTATTTCATATTCCTAATTGTCGCTTGAGAATGCACAGTAGACTTCGAATGCTTATGTTATAAACATATCGTACATCCATCATAATATATATCTCAGCTTTAATTTTTCCTTCTGGGAAAAAAAAAAAAAAACATAAGATCAAAACGTTATACAAATTTTCGTTTCCGGGCTTCATGCCAAAAGTTGAACTACTAACAAACAAAGCACCTGAGCATTATTATTGTTATTATTATTATTTTAGCCGAAAGGGCATTAGCACAAATGGGTTATTAGTCTCTAAACAGGATTTTGCGTTGTCCACTATAAACGGCTGTATCATTTTCAAATTGCTGCCACCAAATGTTATCGCTCTGTATTATTTTAAAGAAATTAAATAATGAAAAATCTGTTGTTGTGTTTTGACTTATCTCACTTGGCTGACAGTGACATCAAAACAAGCCCACGAAATTCATCGTGGCAGGGACCTGTCGCTGGCAAAGCCTTGAGCACCGTGCAGGTCACAGTACGACTTCGCTCAGTTCCGCACTGCAGTTTTGAAAGAGAGCACCTCGTTTTGACGAGACCACTCCCCTCTTCCCCTACCACCAAGCTCTCGAGAGGACTTTCGGCTCCCCGCATATTTAGAACTGCCCCCATGCCGTATAGACACTATACATTTATAAACATCCATGCCTTCTTCGGGATTCGAGCTCGGGTCTTTCGGTATCGCAGTAGGTTCCATGAAAAATATACGTGTATGTATATATGTTTCTTGCATTATGAAAAAAAGGCGGTACCTAGAGCCATCAAATTCTGAATAACGTAGTCCTCCACTCGAATATGTGCACCTGGAAGCCCAAATTTTTAATTTCGAATTTCATATTTCACATTTTGTGAAATTTAATGAAGTTTTCATTCACAATCTTAACGATTCAAAAACGAGAAATGGCAACATTATACGGAATAAAACATTTTTATCTCTAGCGCGCAAGACTGGCTATCGGAAATTTTGAAGATATGCTCTTTTTAAATATTTTGTGATTTTGCTGTTGAACTGAATTTTACGTCAGTGCGAAAAACTTGACATTTAATTAATTAATTTAACACACAAACCGTTTATAATAAAAATGCAAAAGAAAAAAGGTTTTGTAAGCCATCTTATTGAGAGCACTGAACACTGGTATGATGAACTGAGAAAAAACTGGAAAAAATAGAATAATGTATGTCAACACTTCGAGAATTCTAAACATATGCTGCTATGTTACTATTAAAGTTTTTGTAATTTTGCTTTGAACTGTATATGGCGCTAGTGCGAAAAAACTGATACTTAGTAATGAAGGTAAAAAGAGAAAAGGGAATGGGCTAGCCGGATTGAATGGAACAGCAGACTGGTAGACTACGAGCTCAGCGAGAGCGTAAGAAAAACCTAAAAACAAGCCGTTTTGGACGACCGTTAAAATCTGAACCCTTTTCAGTTTTTTTTTTTTTTTTTTTTTCAAAATATTGAAGGCGGGAGGGGAGACAAAGCAGTTCTTCCAATGTCTGCTGAAAAGTCCACAAGGTGCTATATGGGCACAACAAAAAAAAAAAAAAAAAACAACCCGGACTTCGATGAGTAAGGCATACCACAGCTTGGTCTTTATATTGAAAAATACTAATTAAAACAAGTAAGTTTGCTGTGTCTGTGTTTTGTTTTGGCTCACTTGTTAAAAGTTTTTTTTTTTTTTTTTTTTTTTTTCCCCGGTAGGGCCACTGAGTTTTGTTTTTTGATGCTTCCACGTATTTACAATTCAATGTCATTATAATTTAACTTATTGTTAATATTTTTACTGATATCACTTTTGACTTTTTTTAAAATTCCTTCTTTTTAAAATTTCTGAAAGCAATACAAATGAAACCAGTCCTTGTTTCTTAAATGTTTAGTTTTTTTCTTTTCAATTTCTTAATCTTTTGAATTTTATATTTTCTTGTTTAAGTGTTTGACTGCATTAAAATACTTTTCATTATGTCAAAAGAGTATTAAATATCGATATCGGGAAAACTAATTAAATATTGGAGAAATTAATTAAAAATTAGATATCGATACCGTAGATATCCGATATCGATATTGAAAAACTAATGTCTATCCTTGCTCATAAGTCGTGTTTTAAGTGCTGCTTCTGGAAAAGAAGCTGAGATGGCATCAATCAAATTATTCGTCAAAATTAAAATTCAATTTTGAAACAAGTTAAATGTTCCATGCAGTTGGGGAGTACTTAATCTGTAATTCTAGTTCGCCTGTCCTTGGAACTATTTGGTCGAAATTTAATTTGCTCGAAAAGAGTAATGAGAGTTTAGAAATTCAGTTTTACGGAATCATCATATTATGCTGAATATGTAAAATTATTATTAAAATTACATATAAAATAAACCTGAAGAAGTATATTGGCAGTAAAATATGTTTATCCTTTTATGGAGCTATTTCTGTAAGTAAAGAAATAATAATGTAGCAGAAATTATTTGAGATATCTTTCAAGAATTAATCTATTATGAATATATCAAAACTGAAAATGAAAGTAACAAATTGCGCTGAGTAGTTTTTTTTGTTCAAGGATTAAGGAATTTACAAAAATTATTATCCTCCCCTCCCCCTTGCTGTTACGTTATTAAGATATCGTTATCTAACATAATTAGAAATCTTTGTCGCTCTCGATTTCGGGTTCACCGAAGTATTATATGATGGCGCCATCTGTCGAAGAGAATTTGAAATCAAATAACTATAATGATGATAATCTTTAGCTGGACTAATCAGATTCGAGAATCAGTTTATAGAGGATTTTTTCTTGATAAAAAAATTGACTTTTCAGCAACATCTCAGAGAAACTGTGAAAAAAGTTCATATCACGCTTGCAACTATGCGCCCTCTTCTTGGCAGAAGAAGTCATATACCCGCTTCTAATAAACCCCTCTTATATAAATCTATACTTCGACCAGCATTACTCTATGCTAGTCCTGTTTGGGGCCACGCTGCCAAAACTCACCTTCAACATATCCAAATTCTTCGAAACAAAGAACCCAGAGAGAGATTATCAACGCGCCATGGTTCATTCCAAATTCGTATATTCACCGTGCTCTCAAAGTAGAAAGAATTCAAGATTATATTCAAAAACATGACATTCTTCTATTCAGTTCTCACTCATCCTAATAACTGCATCAACTGCCTTAGATGTTCTCCATTTCCCAGAAAAAAGCACAAATATCCATCTGACATTATGCATCCTTAACATTTTTTACTCATACTAGATTCTTCATTTCACTGATTTAAACCTTCGACCAGAAACTCACCTTATTCGTCGACTGATGGCGGTCACTTGACTTTTACTTTCGTCTTTTTGTTTTACCGATATTCTTCACCTGATACAGAGTAAAAGGAGGCGCTGCTTTCGGAAACTCAAATTCACTATATGTTCTTAGTAGAAGAGGATTTTTTAAAGAGCTTCTTTAATATTTTAAACGTAGTTTTAATTGATACAAATTATAAAATATTACATGAAATAGCCTGATAATTCAAGATTTTTTCACTTAAAATTTTTAAACAAAAAATATATTGAACTTTTTGTATTTTTTATTTTTATGGTTTCTGTTGGTTGTGGACGAGCCACATCTTTTGATGCCAACATTTATAGCTTCAGTGGATTGGCAATAGCGTGTTTATCTCTCGCGAGGTAACGCTTTGCGAAGCCGCAATCTTTAACGACATGCATTTTTGTAAATAAATTGATATGTTTTGTTATTCTACATAAAGAGTGTTGTCTACTTTGTTGCCACATGGCATAACTTAGTAGAATTCATTTAATTAAAGCTAACGATCATAGTTTTCAAAAGTTTCAGTTTGTTATATACAGCGTATAGTATATGCAAGACCTATTTTGATCTTGCATACATTATACTTTGAATAAAATATAATCTTGATTATTCTAAATGTCTTAATTTTTTCAGAATGAAACTGGGAAAAACAAAAGTATCTAAAAACCTTATTAATAAACACCTTGATTACTTAAATTACAGAGATAAGAACCAATTAATTGAATTAAATTGTTAATTAATTTAATATTCTAGTTTATGAATAAAATATTATAATTTTTAAAAAATTCTTTTTCAAGAAATAAATTATTTCTTCGGACAGATTTTTCTTCTAGAGAGACATTCCATTACTGATCAAATGGAAGAGAAGCACGCCAGTGTAAAATTTTAAACAGGCAAAAAAGTCAAACTTATTTTGGGTAGATTTAAATAAAACTCTATCGATTTCGTAGGCGATCAGGCATAGTTTCCCATTCTTCTGGTGATTTAAAAAACCACCATAGCTGTACAGGTAGGTAACAATTAGGTTAGATTATATGAATATGCACGACAGCTGTGTGCTAGGGGAAAGAATGACTTTGGGAAGGACCTTTCTAAGGGAAGCTGAAAGGGCTCGTATTAACGTTGCGCATTACGAAAATTCAGCTTTTCGCCAATTAAATTCAGCCATCCCTTCGGTTAACCTGGCTTATAAACAAAACGGCTAGATAATGGCCCTCTTTTTGAGTTTTAATGAGGTTCAATACAAAGTTAACATATTATACTTGCTTCAAATTTTATATTTTTAAGAGCTAGAATAAATCAATATATAAACTTCTGCATATTTTAAACATTATAGGAGAATTTGGAAGGAATTTTAGGAGAACCTGTGAAGTGTCCTGAGAGAAGAAATGTTAAAAGTTGAGGTCTATATGCTATTTTGATCATGCATGCATCAGGTCTTGCCAGTGTTTTTTAGCGATTCGTTTGCAAGAGGCCTTGATTACTTATTTATTTAAAAGTGGCTTTAGAATTAGTCTTTTTCATTTGTCAAATTATCTGTTACAGTGATATGCAAAATCTAAGGATCGTTTCATTTTTCTGTAGTACTATCGCAATTGAGAGGCGCAAAGAAAGTCATACCACAAAGATCTTAATATACAAATGAATTAGGAAGATACATGCACAGAAAAGGATACAGAAATTAAATGGGGGCTTTTAATACGACAAAAATTGACTTTCAGCAACATGTAAAGCTTGATTATACCAGATGAATCCGTTCCATAGAAGCAGTGAACGCAAGATGTGATGTTTAATCGCATCGTGCAGCAGCAATGAGCGCTTTGGAACAATGCAGTAATGAATGCTTTGGAATATTTGCATTCATACTTAACACGAGGTAGTTGATAATCTGTTTGGAAAATAGTCTCCACTCCTCTGTAACTATTCATTTTAGCTGATGGATTTCGTACAATGGATGTGAGTCTGCAACGAGACAGCTTTGCAGAAGTCCCATACATACTCTACAGTATATGATCTCCGAACCTTTTCGACCCCTAAGTCAAAAGTTATAAGTTGTATCCCGTGTAGTATAATATAATGTATGCAAGTAATCGTTAGCTTACTTCTTTGGCGTACCTTTGGATACATGTACTCCGCTTTGAAGACCACCATTCTATACAAGGGGTCCTCAGTTGCCTTACCTCAAATATTTTATTTGCCAAAGCCTTCCGCATACCCCCCCCTGAAACTATAAAATTCTAAAAATACTATATCAAAAAAAAATTTAAAAATTTATAAATCTAATCTAAGTATTCTAAAAATACTATATAAAAATCGCATTATTTTGGATAGCTTGATTTGCCTGAAAAACTGACCAATAGAACCTAGCTAGTTTGATTAGAGAAAACAGTGAAGTCTGAAAGTGTAAAATCTGCATTTAAGATATTTGCGGTAAGGCAGAAATTGGTGCCAACAGAAACCCAAAACTCCTTGCTGAAATTCCCTTTGCACCAAGTGCGACATTATGCCCAAACGGTCAAGAAAAAGTTTAAACTCATTGGATTGCAACATAAGTTTTATTGTTCCGGATGGTATAATTTCCTGTAAGTTCTCTTTAAAAAAGTATTATCATCATTTGAATTATTAAAAATTTATTCACTTTTATTTAAACAAACTTATTAAAAGTTTATCAACTATAAACTTTTAATAAGCAGTAAAATAAGACAACCTAAAAATTGTAGCACGTTATTACACATACATTCTTGAGTTTCTTTCGGAGTTCGAATTTTTTTTATGAATTACTTATAACTTTTAGGTCCCATCAGTAATCGAAGAAGAAGTTGCCAGGGATCTTCGTCTGAAAGGAAGTGATGCGGAGCTGTTAGAACTCGAGATGAGAGCCAGAGCGATTCGTTCTCTTCTTAAAGCAAGAAGCCAGGCTGCATCAGATCAAGAGAAAGACAGTTCCATGCCTAAAACATCAGAAAAATGAAACTATTAAGAATACGGTTCTGAACATGAAGTACATGTCTTTTTTCAGAACTATCATTTACTGTAATATTTTTCTACTTGGTATGCTTTTTCGGATACAAAATCTATAATTTTGTTTATCACATCCAGTCAAATATTTTAACTGAAATACCTTAAACAAGAGCTAACTAATGTTCTGCTCTATTTAATCTTAAATTAGTTCCACAGTAGACATTTTTCTTAATTTTTGTTATTTCAGTAGCTCTGGGAAAAAAACTGATCTGTTAATAATTATTTCTGTAAATTATATCTGTCAATATACTTTTTTAAAAATTTAATAAAACCTGTTTAAATTGCTGCTACGGAAACTTTGGTTTTATGCTTCATTTACTCTAATGAGTATGTATACATCTACGACATACCATCTTTGTCATACAAGACAATCCTGCTGTATTCTTCAGGGAAAATGAAAATTTTAATCAAATAAAAATATATGCCTGTACTACATATATGTATAGAGTCTGTCTCTGTTGTTTCACATAAGCTAGAATAGACCCTATAATGACCTGGCGAATTCTCGCACAGGCGTGAATGAAAACTACGACTCAGACGAAGGGTACAAATAACCCTTTGTTAATTCAAACTAGTTAACAGAAGGGCACGGACTTCCTGCGTTGCAAAGACACCGTCAACTTGCGATGGAAACTAAAACGCAGTGGCGGCTCGTAGCTAAAATTAGTGGGGATGCTGTTCCAAAAAAATTTAACCTTTGTTTTAAAATTGTGTAAAAGGAAACAAACATGTATAAAAAAAAATTATTTTGAAACATCATGAAAGTTTACGAGAAAAAAATTAAACATTTCTTAATTACTTTAACCTAAACTGTTACAGTTCAATCTATATGTATTTATTTAAAAATGAAATCCATTCTTCTTGTTTTAATTTGCCCGAAAAGATCAATAATTTTCTCCTTGATCTCTGGATGACAACTGAGGAAATTTTTCTTCATTGATTGCAATGCAAGCGTATTGAGTCTTTCCGAATTCCTATGCTTCTTAGAAAAGTTTTCATTCTTTTCAATGTTGAAAAGCAGCGTTCTGCATCTGATGGATGGAGAACTCTCAAGAGAATTTTTATCAGTTTCTTAATTTCACTAAGAACATCATCTAGATTATTTTCGAAGATAAATTTCAGTAGCTCAATTAATTTGCACTATTCATGGATATCAGACCTGCAATAGAATACTCTTAGTTCAGTTTCAAGCTTTTCTTTGTCAATCATTAGATATGCTTCAGTGGTCAGGACTATTTCTTCTGTAGAATGTTCATTCCTAAAAATAGCGAAGCATTTCTTGTTAAACAATTTAGCAGCTGCTAAGTGTTTAGTGGAAGAATATCTGTGCATTATATCAATACATAGTATAAAGTCACATATTTCCTTAGCTTCTGCCATCAGTGTCTTTGAAAAATTATCACAGTACTTTGAGTTTCTTAATTCTAAAATAGCAGTTTTGAAATTTGTTATATAGTCATTAACTTTAAACACACTAATTTCTCTGGATTGCATTTAGTTGTATATTATTTCAACATGAGGCATAATCTGACAAAAAAGCTTTCCCCAAACAAAAAAGCCCAAACTTGAAATTATCATCATTTAGATATTTTAAAATTTCTGTTGCTTTGCAATAGTTTAATCTGCATTTGATGTTGATTGAATTTCAGCAAGGCAGGTTTTTAAAGGTTGCAAATTTTCATGAACTCCGTTTATGGTCCGTATGATGAAGTTCCACCTTGTGGAGGAACAGGAAGGAGTAAAAGGAAATCACGTTCCCAACAACACGCCAGAAATTCGGCACTGCAAGAGCGACAGTGCTTCTGTCTCCCTGGCTCGGCATGCTGCTTTCTGTGTGCGCATGCGCAGAACAGCCCAATACCATGTCGCTGGAACTGTGAAGCGCGCAGTTCCAAACAAAGACTTTCAAACTGGGGAATGGCTACTGACAAGCTTAAGGATTATGTATAGCAAAAGTATAAAGAAAGAATTAAAGACTAAAGGACACACTGTATTAAATATTAAAAATTATAATAAGTGGAAATAGGGGGTGCTGCAGTTCCACAGTGCTTATTACGAGCCGCCACTGCTAAAACGTAGAATATAATACAAGTCAAACCTGAAATAAATAGTGCAAGATCGCACTTAAGTTACGCCTAAGAGGGGGACTCACAAGGAATCTAACCGCCGTGATACTAATCTGATAAGGCCAAGAGGCTTACTAGCGTGACCGCGAAATAACAACGAAACGTGCGCTTGGCTAGCGAAACACGCTATGCATAAACTGAGATATTCATACTTTTAAATAAGCACTCCACTTAACTTAAAATTTACATCCCGGCGAGAGAACGTGAGGGGAAGTTGAGAAGTCTAGAACACGGATCAAACTTAAAATAAATTTTTATGCAAAATAAGGAAAACCCTACATATGCAGTAAGACGTATATTGCCAAATTAATTATTTTAGTTACCAAATTAAATATTTTTAAATCTTTATTAATACTAAAAAAACTTTACCAGATTAATTATTTTAAAATTGTGCTTATTCAAAATTTCATATTTCACTTTCTTTCATTCATTGTTTTAAATTTCTAGAATCTTCGGCCTGGGATTTCGAAAACCATTGAATAGTTGTTGTATCTTCGCATTTAATTTTTGAAGGAACAGATTGGCTGCATAGATGTTTCCTTGAATTTTCCGATAAAATTATCTCTAAAAGATAGCTGGAGTAAGTTTAAAACATAGCCGGAGTTTTCGCATGTGTCATCGTAATTACGATGTCTCGCGTTTTTCAGGTGAGCATATAAGGCAGGAGCTTTTGTCGCACCAAATTACCACTGAATTTTTGGGAAATGTGAAAAAAATATTTTAGAAAACAAATCAGGTTCAAAATCTGAGAAAATGCAAATATGTAAAATATTATTAATATAAATAATTATAAATTGTAATTAATTATTCTACCTCAAGATTAACAAAAATTTAGATATAGTTTCCATTTACTATTTGCATAAAATTTAAGATGTATGTTAGTATATGATGCTCATTTTAAGCTGCGTAGGAAATTATCTGAAGTTTTAGTGTGTTATGTCTCTTTTGGTTTTCAAAATACAGCGCATTTGCTCTAGAAGGGGCAGATAAGAACTTATATTAGAAAACGAATATTGCTTAGTAAGTATAAAGCTAGTAAGAAGTTAATTCTAACTTAAGAACATCTTCCCATTCCTTCAGCTCATGCGAGGAATTTCAGATTTGCTGTGGTAGAACTCCAAATGTCTGGATTAACTGTACACAGCTGATCATGATAATTGGAGAATCTAGATAAATGTTTTTTTTTTTTTTTTTTTTTTTTTTTTTTTTTTCCTATATTTTCTATTCTATGTACTTACTTTAATGCCAAATGAGAGAATTTTATTTCTTGTGTGTGTGTGTGTATGTGTAGATATACAAATTATACGATGTATCTAAACAGGTATTTATTTCCGCTTCAAGAAAAATAAAACAGTGAAGTAAATTTTATTTATGTCAACTTTTACATTCAATGCATAATCTTGTTTTGATTTTTACTATACAACACAATAAAACGTTATTTAAAAGCATAAAACAGCTTTTAAACTTATTTATATTTGATTGCATTTAATCTAAGTTAGATGTTGGCCGTAATAATTTAGTCTGTTTTTAAGAAAAGAGCATTTGTTATGATTAAACTATAACTCTCATTATAAACAAAGAAGGGTGTGTATTTTTATAGTATGTAATTGCTTTGTTCATAATGTTATAAGCGTAATATTCTAGGTTTATATATGTATCCTAGGTTTCCAAATCCAGCACGTTCTCCCACGACAATTACTGCGCAAACACAAAAAGGAGAGGCCAACACTTCAGAAACGTTTGAAGCTGAAATATCCAATACGCGTGAGGAGAACCGTGGCCTTCGAGATAATCTCGAAGGCCACGGGAGAACTCGGTGCTGCTAACAACGGAAGCAACCAATATAAAAAATATTCCCGTAGCAACAGCAAGCGCATCATCATTGTCCTTTCCATTATTTGTAATTAACATATTATTTTTCATTATTTGTAATTAATACATTTGTATAAATATATTATTCTACTTCGCACGATTGACAGCAGCTTAAGATCGACAAGATTTTATTAGCAAACATCCGTGCCAGCCTACAGCTTCAAAACATTTGCCTTTTTTTCTTCCATCTAGTGTTTTATCATCCTAACAGAAGTAATACAAAATGGTTGAGTTTCTGTAAAGGGACAGACGGATTATTCTGCTTCATTTGTTTACTTTATTCCTACAGCTCTAACGAAAGTATATTTGTTAATGGAGAAACGAAACATTGGCGCCACATAATACAACAAGGGAATGAACATGAAGCGAGTATAATTCATAATAAATGTAAAAGGAAAAGACATATATAGTACTTTGTTTTCAGAAACGTCGATGATTCGTCAACAAGATACAATAGGTCTAAAGCGAGTTTGAAAGTAATTATTGAGGTTGTTCAATTTATCGGGAAAAAAGAGAAATTGCTTTCCGAAGTCATACGAATGCAAATGCGCAAACCTTAATAGATGTTAATGTTGATCATGGAAATATCCTGAAAACAATACTATTACTTTCAAAACACAAAATTGTTTCTTTGGCTTTATCAGTGTTATAGCGAAACATGCTGATCGTCAACGTAAAGGAAGTAGCGTAACTTTGTTATCTAAAATGACAATAGATTATATCATAACTAGCATCAAGAATGTGATGAGACGGTTATTGTAAGCTGAGATTCGAGAAGTGAATTTTTACTCACTTCAAATTGTTACTATTATTGACATAAATCAAATGGACCAATGTTCAGTTATTATTCGATATCCTTATAAAGAAAACATGCACGAAAGCGTGATAGGTATTTTATCTGGAACAGATTCCAATAGACTCTTTGTAGTAACAAAAAGAAAACCCAGATAAGAAATATAAAAATATCAGTAAAAATAAATTATATTATTGAATGACACTTTAAATTAATTACACATATGCATATATTACTTTATTATAAATTATTTCAAAATCAAAGAAGAGAAAGAGGAGAAACTTTAATATTGGCATTTCTAAAATAATATAAACATTAATAATTTAGTACAGTTTGTTATTTCAGGCAAAACGAATTCACTTTTCTGGATAGCATTTATATTTCCATCTCACTTTCAATAAAACATTAAGAGAAATGCATATAATTTAAACACTAGTTTATTTTTTATTTTATTTATCAGACAGATTATGTCAACTTGCAAGATTCAACAAAAATTATCAATACTTTTATTATAATGACAATACTACAGTAACATGTACATAAAATTAAAGTGCATATACTATAAAATAAGCCAGCATATAATAATGATGCATTGGTTTCTAAAACAATGGGCTAGATGATGGTAGCTATTCATGTTCTTCAGCTT